TTCAAACCCACCCACCAGCCTCTCCTCGGAAGAGGCAGTCTGCTTCCATAAAGATTTACAGCCTTGGAAACACTATGGGGAAGTTCTGCCCTGTCCTACGGGGCTACAAGTCGGAATTGACTCGAGGGCAGTGGGTTTGGTTTGGATTTTTAACCCTAACCACCCCTTGACTAATGATCCACCCCTTGCTAAGGATTATCAGAAGGCAGCCTGAAAACTCTGCTTTTGTTTATTCATCTGATAAGTTTGTGTTCTCTGTACAAGGTCCCATTAGGTTAGAGGAAAAGAATGTGCTTTTAAATCCTCCATTAGAATAGAAAACTGGTCTCTAACCATATTAAAATGTACTATGCTTACCACCAATGTTATGGTAAGAGCAAATAAAATAATAGATGTGACAGCATTCTGTAAACTCCAAAGTGATCTACAAACATAAAAGGAGGAGGACTGTTGTATAAATAAATAATTATAAGCAACTTGAGTAATAATTTGTGCTTCTGTACCACATGCATGGATTGAAATACTCAATATTATTCACATGTTAATTCTCCCCAACCTGATCTATAGATTCAATGCAATCTCAGTCAAAGTACCAGCAGGCTTTTTTTTGTGGAAATGGACACAAACTGGAACTAGAATAAGCAAAACAGCTTTGCAAAAGAATAAAGTTGAAGGACTCTTACTACCTGATTCCAAGCCCTCCTATAAAGGTACAATAATCAAGACAGTGTGGTATTAGCAAAATGACAAACACATGGACCGGTGGGACAGAAAGCAGAGTCCAGAAATAGACCCACACATACAGTAAAACCTGTGAAAGCCAGACACTGTGTAAGAGAAGAACCTGTCAGAGAAGGAAAACTCAAATATTTTCTACTAACACGAGTGATAGAAAAGTGGTAATGCTGCACCCTGTCAAAAGGCGGAAAACTTGAGAGACCCAGAAAAACAAGGCAGTCCCATTGAGTTCCAGCTCTCACAGGTTTCACTGTACATGGTCAATTGATTTTCAACAAAGGTGCCAAGGCAACTGAATAGGGAAAGTCTTTTCAACAAATGGTGCTGAAGCAATTAGGCATCCATCTGCAAAAAAAAGTGAACCTCTGCACAAGTAAAAAAAATTAGTTCAAACTTACCTAAGAACAAAACCTAAAACTATAAAACTTCTAGAATATATAGGAGAAGAATCTTTGATACATTGAGTGAGGCAAAGAATTAGTTCTTAGATGAGACACAAAAAGCACAAATTATAAAATAAAAAAACTGATAAACTGAACTTCATCAACATTAAAAATGTCTCCTCTTCAAAAGACTGTTAAGAAAATGAAGACAAGTCACAGACTGGGAAAAAAAAGTCTACAAAGTACATATCTAATAAAGACCTGGTATCCAAAATGTATAAAGAACTCTCATAACTCAATAAGAAAATGAACAACTCAGTTTAAAAACTAGACAAAAGATTTAACAGACACTTCACCAAAGAAGATAGAACGTTAGCAAAAAAACATAAAAAAGATGTTGAACATCATTAGTCATTAGGAAAATGCAAATTAAAACCACAGTGAGATACCACTGCACGTGCACTAGACTGATCGAAATTTTTAAAACTGGAATACCAAGCGGAGCTGAGAATGCAGAACCCCTTGAACTCTCTCGTACATTGTTGGCAGGAATGTGAAACAGCACAGCCACTTTGGAAAACAACTTGGCAGTTTCCTATAAAGTTTAAACATATACTTATTATACGATTCAGCAATTCCACTTCTAGGTATTTACATAAAAGCTGTATGAAAATGTTTTTAGTGGCTTCATTCATAACTGTCCAAAACTGGAAACAACCCAAATGTCCATCAGCTCATGAATGGATGAACAAATTATAGTGTATACATACAATGGAATCTTACTCAGTAATAAAAGGAATGAACTACTGGTAACTGCAACATAGTGGGTTGAAATGTATTCCCCAAAAAGATATGTTCAGATCCCAAACCTAGGCACTTGTGAATGTCACCATATTTGGAAATAGGGTCTTTGCAGATGTAATCAAGTTAAGGTGAGGTCACACTGTATTAGGGCAGGCCCGAAATCCAATGACTGGTGTCTTTATAAGAGAAGGGGGAGGGAGTTTTAGACACACAGACACGCAGACACACAGGGAAGAAGGCCATGTGACAAGGCAGGGAAAGACTGGAGTGATGCAGCTACGAGCCAAGGAACGCCAAGAATTGCTGGCAACCACCAGAAGCTAGGAAGAGGCAAGGAAGGATTCTTCCCCAGAGCCTTCAGAGGGAACACGGCCCTGCTGACACCTGGACTTTGGACTTCCAGCCTCCAGAACTGTGAGAGAATAAATTTCTGTTGTTTGAAGCCACCCAGTTTGTAGTACTTTGTAATGGCAGCCCTAGGAGACTAAAACATGCAACAACATGGCTGAAAGCAGTGAAAGCAGGACCCAAAAGACCACATACTGTATGATCCCACTGACAGGACACTCTGGAGAGGGCACAACTCAGATCAGTGGCTTCCACAGGATGGAGACTGATTATGGAGGGGACACAAGTGAAGTTTTTGGGGTGACGGAGCTGTTTTATATCTTGACTGTGGTGGTGATTTTAGTCCATAGAATTGTATACCTAAAAGAAGGTGAACTGTACTGTATGTAAATTACACCTCAATAAAATTTACTTAAAAAAAATAATCTGTGCTTTTGGGCTTCTCTTTTCTTCCTCAGTTTAAGAATCCTGGGAAGAGGACTCCTACAGGCCTAATCAGGGACAATGTGAGCAACAAAATAATAATGATGTTTACAGATTATAGTTCACTGAATAAAATAGGAAACCATAAAACCATACATGTAAAAATAAATAAATAAATGTACAAATTGAAGTGTGATGAGGAACAGAATAAAGTACCTCCTCAGAAAACACTTACTAATTATTAAAGGGAAAAGAGTAACTTCAGAGTGGAGAAGCCAGGCAGACACCATCTTAATTAAGTGACCAAAGTGAACACTACTAATAACAGGACAAATCAAAATCACGGACCTAATGGGATACAGTAGCAGCATGGCTTCTGTGCTATTCCTGCCAAAGATGCATCATCTGGGTCTAATCATGAAGAAACATCAGACAAGTCCCTACTGAGCTTGTCTACAAAATAACCGGCCTGTAATCTTCAAAAGTAGCAAGGTTGTGAAAGTAAAAAAAAATTTTTTTTTGATGTATTAAAAAGACTGAAAAAACTCTCTTAGACTGAAGGAGACTAAACAGAATGATGACTAAATAAATGTGATTCTGAACTGGATTCCTTAGCTCTAGAGGACAGTTTTGGGACATTCGGTGAAACTAAATCGGGTCTGAAGATTAGATGGTAATAATCTATCACTGTTAATTTCCTGATTTTGATGGCTGTATCTTAGTTATGTATGACACTGTCTTTGCTTATAGGAAGTACACAGTGAAATATTTTGGGGTGAGAGGACATCAGGCCAGCAACTTATTCTAAAGGAAATAAAAAAGTTATTTGTACTGTACTTTCAACTTTTCTGTAAGTTTATGATTGTTCCAAAGTAAAAACTATTATTTAAAAAAAAGAATATCAACCTCCCCCAGAAAAAAGAATCCTGGGAAGGGCAAGGATTGTCATTTCATGCCATTTCCCAATGACAGACTTTAGTCAATAAACTATCACATTAAAAATAAACAAACCATCACATTTACCAGCTAAGTGGACAAGCTTTATCACTATCTAGAAACAGGAAATGGGAGGGGCAGCATAGTAAACTCTGTATTCCTCTAAAGATGACAGTAAAGTGCCACACATCAGGACCTCAAACACAGCAAACACTGACACCGCTCTATTTTCTGAAGCATGAAATTCAGCATAAAACAGAGACCTGCTTTATTTGGATAATGAATGATCCAAACGGCCAAAGTATAAGATAGTTTATAGACGGAGACCTTTAATATAGGCAGTGTTACGGTGAGATTCCTATGTCTTTATATTAAAAACAATACTGCAGTGTAATAGGGTACAAATAGGTTTATATTGTACTTTTCTAATCACCATTATATTTAAGAGTTCCTATTAGCACTCTCAAATGGCAGTCTACAATTTAAATAATACTCTTGCTTTGTTCGACATCATCAAACAAATGAATTCAGTTTTTACAACAAAGAAGACAATACTTTTAAAATGGAGAGGCATTCAATGAGTCAAGTTACGCTTCATCTGAAAGCTTCTATCCCAACTTCAACACCAAATCTTAAATTATGTAATTAGAATAACAAGCTCCTGATTTTTCAGAGACTAGGCTATCTAAATAGGTCTAATTCAGATCACAACCATAGTACCATATACCATTGTCTGAAACACCAATTCCACATTGTTTTGAGCAAGGCTTCTCGCTGACAGGAATGATTAAAACACCTATGGCACTATACCAATCTGAATGCCACGAAGACCACTTATCTATGCCTGTGCTGTCCAATACAGCGGCCACTAGCCACATGAGGCTACTGACCACTTGAAATGTGGCTGGTCCAAACTGAGATGGCTTTGAGTATAAAATACACACTGGATTTCAAAAACTTAGTACAAAAAAAAAAAGACTATGAAATATCTCATTAATTTTTTATATTGATTTCATGTTGAAATAATATTTTGGATACATTGGGTTAAATAAAATACATTATTAAAATTAATTCTACCTGTTGCTTTTTACTTTGTTTAAAGTGGCTACTAGAAATTTTTAAATTATATCAGTGGCTCACATTATATTTCTACAAGGCAGTGCTGCCTTAGATCATTTGTGAAAATAACATTATCTTATGCCACAGAAACTATGAAAGCAAATATCGATGGACTCCCCAGAAGACTACTGAACTCTCCTAGAGCCAGTTAATCCAAGATCTAATCTACAGAAGTCAATTTCTTTTCGCTATGCATGCCCATTGTTGTATACTCCATTTGGCTTGAAGAAAGTGATTATCTGGGGGTACCTGAAACTCCGATGCACTGCTACGCAGCTGATTCACATTTGGCAAGGATCCTCCATGATACTGGGTAAGGCGCAGTTGCTGAAGCTTCTGAAATTGAACCTGGAAGCAAAGCCATTTCAAGAATGTTGAGAGATGACAGCAAAGATCTAAAGGAAGCATCAAAGTACAGTATTTTGTACTGACAATGGTTCAAGAATGAAAGCCTTGGTTTTAATTTCTTTTCTACTTAAATAATCACGGTCTTCGGGTTTCCAGTGCTTTCTGGTTTTTGACAACTCTATTTTTGGAAAGAATTTACCTGTGTTCCAAATGTCCCAAGTCATCACAGAAAGGTATACTTGCAAGGCTTTTCAGTGTGGATGTGTAGGCAAGCAGGCACATCTTTAACAGCAGTAGAAGAAAAACTAAACTAGTATCTACAACCCTAACACATTAATTCTTTTCCTTTCTCCATTTACATTTCTGTGTAACAACTGCATAGCCGTGATCATAACATAGATACCATCTTGCATGCTTACATCACAAGCCTTCTCTGTTATTACACAATAATTTCTTCTTCTGAATTATTTCCTTAGAACACATTCCAAAGAGTGATTACTAAGTCACCAGGTATGGCCTTTGGATGGCTCTAGATGCACACTGCCATAATGCTTTTCTAAAGGTTTACGAATTTACATATCAGAAAAGTTTCACTAAAAAGTCACTAACACCAAAGATTATCATTAACTGGGATAAGAAAGGAGGCCAATTTAACAGGTATAAAATGCTATCCCACTGTTTTAATATACTTTTCTTCTGCAATTTCTTCCTTACTTCATTTTTAAAAGGCAGTAAAATAGTTACAGTTCTTGTAAACCCCAGAGTGGTCTGATTTGGTCTTTAAGAGTTATTTCTAAAATAATAAATTGGTTTTGTGGTTATATAAAACTTTGGCACTTACAATTCATACAGGGAAGAAGGAAGCTATCCATGGGTGCCCTGAGGCAGACTGTTGTCCTTTTATTACTCTCTAACTATCACTGACTAATAATACAAAAAAAAAAAAAAAACAAACAAACCCGGATCTGAGCCCCCCACATGGGCCAGGGGCTGTCCTAAGATGCTTTGCACAATTCATCCCTAACCCTCTCCACAACCATGCAAGGGAGACGGCGGTATTCTGCTTCTACAGACCTGGAGACTCAGACTCAGGCAAGTTCAGTGTCTTGTCCAAGATCACAGCCAGAGCCCGAGCCACGGCTGTCTGACTCAGAGCCCACACTGCTATTCCACCATGCTCTTTTCCTTTGCTGTTCCTCCCACAGTGATCACACAAGCTCAGAGAAAAGTGAACTTTGGTTGACAAATAGCACTGTTGAGTCTGTGAAGCTCTCTGACTTTGTTTTGTATTTACTTTTTATTATGAAAAATTTCAAATATGTGCAAAACATAGAGACTAGTATAATAAAACCCCACCTACCCATTATCCAGCTTTAACAATTAACAACGTATATTCAATCTTGTTTTATCTTTAACCCCCCTCCACCATCCCCTGCACTCTGCTCAATGAAATCCCAGATATCCTATCATTTCATATTTCAATATGCATCTCCAAAAGATAAGGACTTGTATCTGTTTGGAAGTTTTAAAGGCATAAAAAAAATATTTTGGCTGCCTGGTTTAACTTTCTTATATCTACAGTGTTTGATTTCTCAAACATACTGCACTGGGATATGATTATAATCTATTAATCAAAACCCAGATCTGAGAGTTAAATATGAGAAGGAGGACATGGTGAGCTTTTTCCATTCATGAGCTGAATTACAAGAATAAAGTCTCTCAGTTTTCCATCTTAACATTCTAAAAGCACTTTACAGAAGCGTTTGACTCTTTATCCTTGAAATTCTCTAAACAAAATTATTGGTCACCTTGATTTAAAGCCTTTTATTCCTTCTTCCATGAATCCATCCATTTATTCACTTACACAAAAACTTTTAACTCTGTGTCAAGTACTGCGCCAGGCACTGGCTGACTAAGATGAATATGTGCCAAATTTCCTGCCTTCAGAAAGTTCTCACAAGTTCTTACCCATAAGCCTTGACACTTCAACCAAGCTAAGTTCTAAATCTACTAAAGATCTGCCTTCAACTGAGTTTAAGGTCCTCACATTCCCCCATTATCTGCTCTCCCCTCCGAAGTCCTTTTACCAGAGCCTTCAGAGACTACTGGGCTGTAATAAAAACAGCACTCGATTTGGAATCAGAAGACCTGGCTTTGCAACCTGGGGCTCCTATGTTATTGGGCAAATCATTCTGATCTCTACTTCACAAAGATGACGTCAGGATTAAAAGAGACAACAGACATGACAGTGGTGTATAAAACGTAAAGCATTTGAAAACTTCTCAAGATATCATTATTACTGAGATTCTCAGTTACTTCTTAAAACCTTGGGTTATTTTTATTCTTGTTTTGAAATTTAGAAGAATTTGCTAGATAGCACCTTAGAGCGTGCCTTCAACACCTTAAAGTTTACAGTTGATGAAAATGAGCACCAAAGATTGATTAGACAAAAGGAGAGGTCACAAACTTGCAGCCCACAGGCCACATTTAACCTAGTGTATTCTGTCTGACCCACATGATGTTAAATCACTCAATGTTTTAAATTCTAATCTTAAAACTGAAGAGACTGCATAAAAATCTGGATTCCTAACTTCTGTTGATTGAAAGATCAGGCAACACTGAACCCATATTCTTGCATGGCAACAATGGATAGAGCTGAGAAGTGGCTGCCTCCTTAGACAGGACTTGGGTTCTCCTGTTTACCCAAGTCCTCACTGTACCCTGTTACTCCCGGACTACCGCCCAGGATGAGTTACCATTTATCATCTTACTCCTGGACCCTCCACTCATTTTCTTCACCTGCCTGACCCTGTAATTTGAGGTAGCAACCTTTGGCCTAGGTCACACACTTTAGTGGACTTTCCTTCAATGCCCATATGAAATGAGATCCAAGTCTCACTAATTCCTTTTTTCAAAAAGTCAAGATTCAACACAACCCCAATCAAAATCTCAGGAAGCTTTTTAAGTAAAAATTGACAAGACAGTCTTAAAATTCATATGTATGGGCAAATGACCGAGAATAGCCAAAGCAATTTTAAAAAACAGCAAAGTTGGACTCAGGTTACCTGATTTGGAGACTTACTATGAAGCCTGAGTAATCAAGATAGTATTGGCAAAAAGAGAGACATATAGATCAACAAGACAGAAGAAAGAGTCCAAAAATAGACACACACATATATGGTCACTTGATTTTTGACAAAGGTCCAACAGCAATTCAATAGGGAAAGGAAAGTTTTTTCACAAATGTTACTGGTACAACTGGATATTCATATGGAAAATAAAAAGTGGTTGAGTATATAGACGTTCAACGTTAACAGTCACATTCAAACTCCAGCTCTGCCACTTACCAGTCATTCCATCAAAATGAGGAATATACTAGATACCCCAGGGGTCACTGAGAGGACATGAAATAATGCACATAAAGGCCTTTGCACAATGCCTGGCAAAGACAACTCTCAGTATTTAGCTTCAACCTAATCTTTCTCATCTCTCTCTACTCCTTTGTCAAAGGCCTCACTACTCTATAACATATCTATTGCTTGTTCGTTTATATATAAAAATAGTGGTTTTTCACAAATATTCAAGACAAATTAATGCTCCAGGCTGATATGATAAGTTTATCCCATGGCTTCTCAACACCATGTTGTCCTTCATAGCTGAACTTCTTGAACAAGTTTCCAGAAACTTGTTCCGTTTCCTCCCATTCACTCCTCAATGCTTTGCAATCTGCCTTCCACACAGCACCTTCTGAATGCAACAACTCTCACTACAGTTACTGAGTACCTCCGCATGACTAGACAAAAGGACATGGTCTTATGCTAGACCAAGTCAGCAGCACCAGATTCAGCTGGTCAGTATTCCCTCCTCTTCACAATAACTCTCTTGGCTTTTCTCCTAACTTTCTGGCCACTCTTCAGTCTTCTTTCCTGGCTTCTCCTCCTCTACCTCCCCTTTAAATGGTGGAGTAACTTGGGCTTATCCTAGGCTCTCTTCACATTTCCCTCTATAACAGGGGTAATAAACTCAAATGCCTACAGGTGCCAAGTAGGGAAGACAAGTGAAATGAGGTGGACTCACTGTGAAGAACACCATAGGGGGAGGAATGGTGGGGATTGTGGCAAACTGAGGAACACACGTGCCCTGTCTAATGGGACCAGTCATTAACTACGTAGCTCCAGGCAACTGCTGCCATGCAGAAATGTGGGGTCCCTGTTGCCAGATGATCTCATTTCTCAATGGAAATGAAAGTCCAAATTTCAGTGTTAAATTCAAATATTCATTGTCGGCCTTCATTTTTTTAAAACACATTTTACACCCAGAGAAAACATATTAGAGGGCCAAATACAGAATGTAGCGTACCAGTCTGCAATACCTGTTCTACATATTCTTCCTAGGCAGCTGAATCTTCTTCAATGGGTATACACCAAAGATTCCCAAATTTATATCACTAGTCCAGTCTTCCCTCCTGAGCTCCAAGGCCATATAAACAACTGCTGCTGGACCATCTTTAACTGAATGCCTCACAAGCATCTCAACATCTCCCAACTGCCAAACCCTGCTCCTCTGCCAGTGTTCCCTCTCTTGATTGAGGATACTCCTGAAATGGCTTTAGCCTAAAAGCCGGAAATCATCCTCGAGTCTTCTCTTTCCTTCATCCCTTTTAACCACTCACAAATCTGGTCCTTTCTACCTCCTAAGGATCAATTTGTTCACCTCTCTGCCTCTGCATTGCTACCACCCTAGTCAATGCCATCATCACCTCTCCTAGGCTACTATCACAGACTCAGAACCGTTTCTCTGCTGCTCCTCCTCTATTATATCCACCACCACTGGAGCAAGAAGGATCTTTGAAAATGCAAATCTCTCCGGGTGCAACTCTAAAATGACTTTCTATTGTCCTTATCCTTAGGATGAAGTCCCAGGTCTTGTCTCTACAATCTGACCCCTGTGAACCTCTCCAGCTTCATCTCAAATCACCTTCCTTGTCCCCTTGCTGAACACCTGTTCTCTGTGCCTGAAACATTCTTCTTCCCTCAACACATAAACATGTGCCATCAAATACCTTCCCCACTCCCACTCATCCTTTAGGCCCCTGAAGAAGTGAGGACTCCCTACCACATACTCCTAGAGAGCCATCTACTTTCCCTTTTGTAACTTTCATCAAAATGTGTCCTACTTGTTAAATGAATGTCTTCACCATTAAATCCTAAAACCCATAAGGAAAATGTGTCTTGCTCACTACTACATACCCAATGTCCATCCCAACTCTGGCATACACCATTGCTGTTGTTAGGTGCTGTCGAGTTGGTTCCGACTCATAGTGGCCCTATGCACAACAGAACAAAACACTGCCCAGTCCCGCGCCATCCTCACAATCGCTGTTATGCTTGAGCTCATTGTTGCAGCTACCGTGTCAATCCATCTCATTAAGGGTCTTCCTCTTTTTCACTGATCCTCTACTTTACCATGGCATATACTAGGGACTTTATAAATTTTTGTTGAGTAAATTATTAAGATCCTTGAAGAAAAGCACCATGTCTTTTCCCCAACCCCCCACAAACACACCATTAGCTACAGAGTGGCCACTCAAATACTACCAAGTGAATATAGACTCTTCCCCAGGCATACCTGCCTCCACTTTTCCTCCTTCTCCTTACTATCCCAGGCACCACCACTGAGCTAATCCTCGTAGTACTCCCTTCTCAAAAATTTCCCACTGCTTCTTGATAAGACTGAACCGATAATGCAGAGTTAAGAACTCTCCATAATCTAATTCACTCCACCTACTACACAAATATTTAACTCCAAATCTGAAGGACTTGCTGTGAGTATGCAGAGAAGGACTTGAGTCCAACCCAGGCTCAGAGGGGAAAGAGTGCAAGGATCGATTAGTGATGTCTGCCATGGGCTGGCAATGGGAAGGTAACATAGCTGCCATCCAGTTACCAATAATGAACTAGACAGATTCTTCTCTGAGATTTTTGGATCCTTGGAAATTCACAAATATACGCTTGGGGATCTAAGAGTTCTCTTTCAGAAGTGTTTCAATTTTGTGATGTCATTATGATAATAACCCTTAAAAATTTTAACTAAGCAAATATTTCAAAGCAAATTCAGTGTTACCATTTGTGTTTGCATTTATGAACACAGCGGAGCCAAGTAATATTATTTTACTTGCGACTGGCTGAGGGGAAAAGACCACAGGCAGACCTAACATCTAAATGATGCCCTACAACAGGTGAAAGGTAAAGTGACATCATAATTTTGTAGTGATGAGATCAAGAGAAAAGTGGCCAAATTCAGTTTTCACAAGGGCCAGGTGATTAGTCTTGCTAAACTCAAGAGAACTGAGCTATAGAAGTTAAGTTAGCACCATATTCACAATGAGAGCCTCAATTCAATTCAGCACTACAGCATCTGTCACATTAAATTAATGTTGTTAATTTGCACTTATTGCATTTGTAACTTTACTTGTGTTTATTTTGTACATGCGTTTTGGTTCATGGTTGTATCACAGCTATAAGCAAAGAACACTATGTGGCTAACGAGTTTAGGTTTGAACATATTTGGGTAACATCAACTTATTTAAGTGAGCCTTGAGGATCTGTGAAAATATTTTGCCTTTAAAAGAGTCTACATTACTCATGGCCTCACTTGTCAGGATGTTTTGAAGATTTATGAGTTGGGTGACAACTCTAGGTAGACAGATATGTATAGTGCATTATTTGTACATATACAATGTATGTATCTAAACAACACATGACAACACAGGCTCCAGAATTAATCCTCAGCTTTCACTCAGTCGTTCTCTTCAATGTGCTCTGAGCTTGTCATGCTCATTCCTGAATCTAACCAAGATCACAAATGTCAATGCCTGTGGACTCCAGGCGGGAAATAAATGAGTAAAGCTGGTCAGGGCACGAGAAAAAAATTTTCTTGAAATCCTCTGCCTACTTTATATATTTTTTCTCAGTTTTGATAGAAACGTTAAGTATAAGAAATACTTCACTTTCCCCTTAACTTCACTAAAGTAAAACGCCATCATAAATGTGATAAATGGCAACTGACGTCTAACCTCAGGGTGGGGAAAGACAGGGAGTGGTGTGGACTGTGGCAAACTAGGAAGCTCAAGCTCCATTTGAGCGGCAACCACCACCCAGCTCCAAATGATGGTGTCTTACGGGAATTCAAGATTGTTACCCAGTCGCCCAATTTTAAATAAGGAAATTTAGATTTTATGTGTAAATCTCCCAATTTAAAAATTCTGGCAACAGGTTCAAAAAATTTTTCCAAACACTGTCCTGGCCAAAATAACGCGTCTGCAGCTCAGTGAGCCCAGGACCAACAGTTTGCAACTTTGCTCCCAGCTCTCCTTCAAGCCATCCCCCACCCCCACCCCTACCTCACCCCCTCCCCGCCCCCAGTGTCTGCATAACCTCCCCCATCGTCCTGATGGTCCTTCAAGGTCAGCCTTCAGGATCCTCAAGGCCTGCCCCGCTCATGCTGACCCCACTTCTCTGCAATCCTGCGCGGACACCCCTGTTGGCGCTCCAACCTCCACTACTTCACGTAACTGTTACCTAACCTCGCTCAGCGTGTGTCTCCTCCGCTCAATCCTCCACTACTTCACGTAACTGTTACCTAACCTCGCTCGGCTTGTGTCTCCTCCGAGCTCGCGCCTTACTCATTCCTGCGGGACCCTCCGCAGCCACCAGCAACGGTGTGCATCGCGTCAGTTCTCATTAAATATCCGGGGGTGAAAAAAGTAGGCTAGACCTGACGAAGAACCTCAAGGAGTGAAAGTAGGAAAGCCTCCTACCAGACACGGAATTACATCATGGTACCAAGACCCCAAGCCACCCCGGGACGCCGCGCTGAGCTCTCCCAATGGAGCGGTGGGCCCCTCGGGCTCCCGCGGCCCTCCACGCCGCCCAGTCCAGAAGAGCTCGCTGGTGGTGGATGTTCGGAGCAATGAAAAGCGGCGCTGCCCGAGCCGACCCGCGGCTCTGCTTGGCCTCCAAGCTGTTTGTGATTTCCTCTCGGGGATCCCGGTCATCCTCCGCTTCAGGCCTCCCTCAAACCGCCGCCCGCCTTCCCGGCTCGGCCGCTGCCCATCTACCCTCACCCACGGCCCGGCGACCCTCCCACCTCCACCGCGATCGCAAATGGCAAGCGGACGTCGGAGAGCGGAGAAGCGCCGAGGCCGCGGCCGCTTCGGCCCGGCTCTCGGGCGCTGGTTCCCGGGCGCTGCCCCGCTGTCGCCTCGGCTC